TATATATATATATATATATATATATATATAGGGTTTATTTCAAATACAACATATCGCATTTGTACAACCAATGCAACCCAATAAATTGAAATATTTATGGAAATGATTAAAGTTCATTTATTATGATTTAAATATTTATGAAAGATGAATACGGTTCATTAATTATGATTAATACTTTATATTAGAAAATAATCAAAACCTCTATAAAATCACATATTAATCAAATGAAATGGACGATTGAGATTGAGTTGTATTGGTTGCACAAATAACAAGGGTTGTATAATAACCAACTTCTATATATATATATATATACACAAAATGAGAATGTATTTTAATCCACTTGGGATATTATGAAACCAAGTCTTTTGTAACATATGTTGTTTTTTTTAAAGTATATAATATTTATAAACGGCAATTGCAACAAATAAACTCACACTCCCTGTTCATTTTTTGTAAGGTTTGAACTCTTGACCTCCTAAGAGGCCAAAGGCTACGATACCGCTAGACCAAATACCCTTTTGTGACATATGTTGTTCTTTGTTATTGTCCAAATACGGTTTATGGGCATCAATCTTTTCTTGTTGTTTTCTGATGGGTCATTTTCCTTGGATCTAAACATCATTTGAGATATAATTTGAATCATGTGAAACAGTACATGAAACAAGATTCAAGATTCATGAAACAAGATTCAAAGTCGATTAAGAACTTACAATTCTCTATGAAAAAGAAAATATTCAAGTATAATAGCATGCTCGAATCTTTTATTGTCGTAGATTACTTTATTCATTTATGATCACACCGCGAAACTCCAAAGACGTTATGTGTATGCATTGTTGAATTGGCTTCAAGTACGATCATGCATCTGACCACGTAACTTGAGTTTCACCCCATTCTTTCTTAGGCACCTGAAGGGCTTTCCACACAGCTTCAGACGCGTCCACGATATTATTTTTACACCCATGATTTGAGTCACACTCGTCAACCACTTTCGCTTTTACGCTTTTACCCTTGTAGTTGATATTGATGGATTTAAAGCACCTTTTTCCATCATTGTACCATTGGGTGGACAATGCCACAATGAGTGTKTTATCTGAATGGTACTTTCCGTCACATTCAGCCGGACCTCCACCACTTTCGCCCTCCTGGAAGCCGTTGATCGTCATAGTTGCCTTCATATTGCTAAGAGCATCGATGGATGATATGGATAAGGTAGCAAGCAGAGAAAAGAGGACGAGGGAGATAACTGACGTTTGCTTCATTTTATCTGTATTATGTTGTCGATGGTATTTGGTGAAAAGAAATTGCAATACGGATACCGAATATATAGCAATCGGGTTTTTTGTCTTGTGCTTGAATGGTTATATTTCTTAGGGTAAGGTTGGGGTTAAAATTACAATGTCGATCTAAAAAAGAGAGTTATACAAATATTTGTTTGTATTATTGGAAGATAATATAAGAAGTTAAAAGAAACATATCTTATGAAGAATTTTTTATTTAAATATTAAGTTTTGTGGTAATTTTTTGAATAATATAAAATTTTGAGATAGTTTTTTCATATATGGAACGACCGTGCTTTTTAATTGAGAGAGCATGTTTAGAAAAACCTCCCTGACGTTTACTGAATGTGTCAATTTCTATATGATTAAGCTAATGTGTCCACACAGCCTTGCTGTTGTGTCCAAACAGCCTTGCTGCTGCGTCCAAACAGCCCTGCTACACAGCCCAAAGCAAGCAGACCGTGAAAGACAGCAAAGAAAAAGGAAGAACAGCAGCCCAAGGCTACTGTCTAGAATAGCAGCGTGAACGAGAGATTGGGACATCGTGCAGCAGATCGTGGGCGACTACGAAGGGGATGTGGGTCGGTGAGAGAGATGGAGGTGTGATTTAACAACCTGTCGAAGCAGAAATCTAGAGGAGAAGAAATCGAGAGGAGCATAAATTGAGAGGAGAAGAAATCAAAAGGAGAAGAAATTGAGAGGAGAAGCAGAAATCGAGAACTCAATCAAAAAAAGAAATCGAGACGAGGGCGGTCGATTAAGAAGAGGGTAGAACCTGTGGATTGAGGGGGAAGAAATCAATTTCACCGGAGAATCGGTCGAGGACAGGAACGAGAAATCGGGAAGCAATAGTAAATAGATTTTTGAAGTCGATTTTGGATTTCTCAATTAGGGTTCTTCACACTCTACTGCTTTCTACCATCTATAAGTTAAATTTTTGTTTCAAAATAGAATTATGAGTTGCTAATTTTCTGTTTCTAGTGATGGGATTATAGCCAATTTGCATTGAATTTTGTTGAGACTTGTTTAACATTGAAACTTAATTGAATTTTAATTGTGCAATTCTTGTTCAGAACCGTTATTCATTTTTGGGATTTTGGTTTTGAGAAGGATCCCTTGAATTCTTTAGCCTAAATTTGAATTGCTAGTTGTAATTAGGAATCTGTAATTGTTCTTAATTTCCACTTGGTAGCAAATAGTGCATCAATAGACAGCCAAGCTCATTGATTTGCATTATAGGACTGTGTAATCTAGCTTAAATGTTCGGGTTCCGTTCATTAGTTAGGATTGGTGCTTGTTTATTGCTTAAGGCAATTGGTAGGTTGAATTTTACGTTCGTGACTAGAATCAACTTAATCAATTAGGAACTAATCTACCGAGCTTCTCGTGCTAGTTTAATTATAAAGACAAGCGGAGTGTTTGGCACGTGTTGACACTCACGACCGGTCTAAAATCTATTGAGAAAAATGTTTTTATACAAGTCAATGATACATGATTTGATAAAGAACCAGTTATACTCATCACTAGAATTTATTCGTTATTGTTTAAAGTTCTCAATTTAATTTGCGTATTTAGGCCATTTATCAATCTTCCAACCCCCCCCCCCCTTATATATACTGATATACACACATTTTTTTATGAATTTGCACTCAGTTACGTCTTGGACTTACGGTTAACACGAGTCCTTGAGGAGACGACCTTACTTATCGCTATCACAAGTTGTGTTTTAGAGATAATAGGCTTATTTTAATAAAATTCTATTATTAATTGCCGGACTCGACACCCGTCAAAACCTTTTTCATGTGTTTGTGAAACAAAAAATACATATAAAAAAATTTCACATTATGAAGCGAAACACACATGAAACAAATACAAATATATATAAATCAACACATTACATATTATACTTAAATGTGAAAAAAAATCATGTAAAACAAAACCGTAAGGTAGAATTTCTCATTGATCTCACAAATTTTGAAGTTCTCAACTGATTAAGCTCTATGTGTGTGTGTGTGCATTTGTTATCATCGTAAGATTAATGGGATCAAATAAGATGTTGTATATTAATACGATGTGCGTGTTACAACTTTCAAGAAAACGAAAGAGAAAAGATGGTTTTAACTTAACAAAGGGGTTGAGCAATAACCTTTAATTTCCTTTATTCAAACTAAGAAATTTCAACAGTTTTATTCATACGCAATACTGAATCGGGTTCAAGAACGATCATGCGTCTGACCATGTAACTTTCGTTTCACCCCATTCACTTCCTGGCACCGCAAGCGCCTTCCAAACAGCTTTAGATGCATCTACAATATCATTAGCACATCCTTTACTAGAGTCGCACTCATCTACCACCATAGCTTGTGTACTTTTATCCTTGTAATATATATTGATATACTTAAAGCACCTTTTTCCGTGATCATACCATTGGCTAGACAATGCCACGATGGGCGTCTCATTCGAGTGGTACTTTCCATCACACTCAGATGGGTCTCCACCACTACCGCCCTTCTCAAAGCTGTTAATTGTCATTGTTGCCGCTATATTACTAGGTTGGGCACTGATGCATGATATGAATAAGGTAACGAACACTGAGAAAAGAACGAGAAAAACGATTGTACTAGACTGCTTCATTGTATCTTAACCCCTTTGGTATGTTATTGATGTTATGTGGTGTGAATAAACTGAATCAAGGATAGCTGAAAATATAGTGATCGAGTTTTTGTCTTGTGTTCAATCAGTTGTATTTTTTTAAAGTAAATTATGTTGAGATTACGACGCCAATTTAACTAAGAGAATTTTAGGAAATATTCGTTTGTATCATTGGAACAAAATCCTAAGTAAACAAGAACTCTCAAAAAATGGAAGTTAAGTGCAAGAATCCATATTAGCTTCCATTGTAGTGTGTGTATATATATATATATAATGAAATCTTTGTTGCATTGTATGATTTGTGTTCTTGTTTTTGTTGGTTTTCAAAGTATGAATCTTTAACTCTAACTTTCTTGTTTTTATTTTATCTTTTTGTTGTTTTTTGAAAGGACAATTTGCTATTGTCTTAAGAAAAAAAATGACTTGTTATTTGATACAAAATGGTGATTTTATTTAAGGGTCTGTTTACCAAACGTTTACTGAGTAAGCGTTTACTGACGACATCCACTATTCTTATTTACCTTATAGGGTAATATTTTCGGGCATCAAAATGGATTAAATAGTAAGCGTTTATAACCTGTAAGCGTTTATCGGGTGAGCATCATTATTCTCACTTACTGGGTAAGACTCTCGATCCTTACCTTCCTTCTTATCAAGTAAGATTCTCGATCTTTGTTATGGTCACCATGTAAGGTAATTGAACTGTTAAGTTCTTACCAAGGCAAATGTTTACTAAATGGCCCCTAATTATATAATTATTAGGGTTGTTCAGCTAAACCACATAAACCATCCACATCCCACCATACTACGAATGGCGGTTTAGAATTTCCATGATGTTGTTTGCGGTTTCATTTTTACCAAATCACACTATGCGGTTCAATAGCAATAAATGTAACACAAATAATAACAAAAAGAATAAAATGGATTACTCGTCGTTATGACCATAACGAGACACTAAACCATGTCTGCTAACCGAACATTTTTATTTGGATGTATAAACGGCAAAAAGATTCTAACTGCATTACAATAAGATACTATTCAACTAGATACTAGATAGCATAGAAAACCACTATAAGTGAAAACAACGTGCAATTATTTCACAAAATTTAGCAACATCATCTAACTTAACGATCGAATGACATCTGTTGTTTTACTGTGTTTTATTAATATGACAGGGAGTGTAACCGAGTCGTTGTCATGAATCCCTTGAGTTGTTCTTGTTCTTGTTTTTGTTCTTATCCAAATATGATTTAAAACCAAATCTTTGTTTGATGCACGCCAGACCTATTACGCATTTTCGGATACCTATGTACCAACTAATCCCTTTGACGACGATGAATGCTTGGAGTCATCGTAGGTGAACCTCCATGGCCACAAGGGCTATTGCAAAACCTGAATTGAAACTTTCAACCTTTCTTGCAAAACCTTAAAAATACAAAGATTCAACTTCTCTACGTTTAAAAACGTAGAGCTTTAGCCAATTTCTCGACAGTTTTAAGCATATGGATGAATCAATTTATTCATGCTAAAACGTTTGAACATTTAGAAGCAATTCAACACTGTATACTTATCATTTGAAGATTGAAACACAAATCCCGCATACTTTAAGTTTAGATGTAAATACATAAAGAAAAACTAAAAACATTGTTGTCGTTGTTCAGTTAATTATAATAACACTGATATTCGAATAGTTATAACGGCAAAAAGAATCAGATACAGTGGAACTTCTAGTTGAACCTTTGGCTACCATCCAACTACTATTAGACGACATCACTTATTATGGATTTTAGCAATACCATCGATCCAACTCGATGTGAGATATCTTTTTTGTCTTATTATATGTTATTTATATGATATAATAAACATTAAAAGTATGGTTTTTGCTTATATTAAACCAAGTCTTTGTCACATAGAGATTAGAATCACTTGTTGAGCTCTTCTTGTTCTTGTCCAAATATGATTGTAAACCATATCTTTGTTAGATGCACCAAAATTTACAACATTTAATCATAAACCAACACTACAACAAAATTGAGTTTATAGGACACCCTCAATCTCTAAGTGTCCCAATAGACCTCTTTATAAGACTTAATTTATAGGACCAAAATATAAAGTGTTCTATCTAAAGATGTTGTAATAAGTTTATATGACGCTTTTGGGCGTCTTAACAAGTTTTTTAGGACATTTTTAATACAAAGTGTCGCATTAGCAACTTTATAGGACACTTTTGAGAAAGTATCCTATAAACTCATTTTTTTATAGGACACTTGTTTTTATAGGACAATATTTCAAATAGTATCCTATAAGGTTGATAATAGGACACTTTATATTAAAATTGTCCTAAAAAACTTATTACGACGTCAAAAAACGTCATATAAACTTATTTCAACACCTTTAGATAGGACACTTTATTTTTTTGGTCTTATAAACTAAGTCCTATAAAGAGGTCTATTAGGACACTTAGAATTTGAGAGTGTCCTATAAACCCGATTTTGTTGTATTACAATTTTCCTTGTTTTTTCATTGTGAAAAGATGGGTCATTTAGTATTTGGTATGTAGTTACGCATCATGGAAAACATCGTGTTTTCGCTGAATCTTTAAATGGTAATTGTCGAATATGTAGCTTATACTGTGTCAAAATGGAACTTGCTTTGTTTCGGTTTCTGTTTTAGAAAACCTACTTCCAGAAACACTGTTTTAGAGGATGTCCTATATTCTGTATGCAATTAAGGGAACATAGGAACAGTTTTTGAAAGTTTGTTTCCGAAAATAAGAACCGGAATAAAGCACATTCATTACAACGAAATTGGAATTACAGGGCGTCGAAATGTCTTAAGTGTTATGATAAAATGCTTTATATAACTTAAATTTATAGGAGCACATAATAAAACGTTATATTTAAAAGTGTTACAATAGTTTTATAGGATTTTTTTAGACGTTCTAATAAGTTTTTTAGAACATTTTTAAATGGATTACAGTATTAGCTATTTTATAAGAAAATACTTAAAATTGTCTTATTAACACAAGTGTTTTATAAAAATATGAATTTATAGGATACTTCTAAAAAAATGTAATATAAAATAGCTAATTTGATACTTTATTTGTAAAAGTGTCATGAAAAACTTGTTAAAATGGTCAAAAGGCTCCTGTAAACATATTGTAGCAGTTTTATGTATAACGTTTCATTATTTGATCCTAAAAAATTAAGTCATACACAACATTATGTTAGAACGCTTGCATATTATTGTGTGATCCTAAAAACTTAAGTCTTTTGTTGTGTTTTTGAAGCAATTGTTTAAAAGATTACACCGTTTAAAGGATTTATCGAGACTTCAGAAACCAAATGAGTTTCGGGAAAAAGAAATTCCATCATATTTACGTAGAAGACAAACGAATGTGTCTTCTCGTTACTTTGTAGAACATAAATGTCTAAAATATATTATGTATCATAATGTTAGGAATACGATCATATGTATAATATACTACTAACCATACCACGTCATTGTTCTATTTTCGTATGTATATATATATATATATATATATGTGTGTGTGTGTATGTATGTATGTATGTATATATATATATATGTAAATAAACTTGGGATCACGTGAGACCAGTCTATTTTTGTGACATCCATGAGATCACTATTTTGCACTTGAAACTTCACAGCAGAATGATGGGAAGGTAACCTTCACATCATTTTGCTATGAAGCTTCAAGTGTAAAAAAATGGTCTCAAGAAAACAGATTGGTCTCACGTGAACCCAACCCTATATATATATATATATATATATATATATATATATATACGCACACACATACATACATATACATATAGAGAGAAAGAGAGGGGGGTTCATACGAAAATGATACATATTTAAGAAAATAAGAGAATAATTCTGGGATGATCATTTATTTGAATATGTATGTATGTAAATAAACTTGGGATCACGTGAGACCAGCCTGTTTTCGTGAGACCACTTTTTTGCACTTGAAGCTTCACAGCAAAACGTTGGGAATGTAACCTTCATAGTGTTTTTGCTGTGAAGGTTCGACTTTTTTTTTACCTTCACATCATTTTGCTGTGAAGTTTCAAGTGTAAAAAAATAGTCTCAAGAAAACAGATTGGTCTCACGTGAACCCAACCCTATATATATATATATATATATATATATATATATATATATATATATATATACACACATATACATATAGAGAGAAAGAGAGGGGGGTTCATACGAAAATGATACATATTTAAGAAAATAAGACAATAATTATAGGATGGTCATTTATTTGAATAGTACTTTAAATGACACTTTTAAAAAATCGTCCAAAAGGGCATATGTGTCATTTGTTGTATACAAATTATATATGAAGATTCATTTATTTTTATAAAGATTATTTAATATATTTAATATTTTCTCATCCCCACAGTTAAGAATGTTCCATAAAAGGCATCTATGTAACCCCCCCTACCGATTTAATAACCTCTGCTACAAAGAAACTCATAAGACCTGTTCGTTTTTTATCAGAAGCTTGTGATTTGAATTGGACATCCAATTGTTTCGATTTGAATTATCCGGAGAATGCCTTATATAGTCTGGAATCAAAATTTTCTTATTTCGAGTAATTTTTTATACAATTCAAGATTTTCCGTGAGAGGTATCGGGAAGGAATTGGAATGGAATAATATTGATTCAGATAGAAGAAAAGGTTCTTGATTGATTCAAACACTGTACCTATGGGATAGAGGAAGAGGAAAAAACCGAATATTTCACATAGTGCCCGAATTCAAGTTGATTCTATTTTGCCTCTTCCTTAAAGAAAGAATCCGTTGGGTCTTCCAATATCAATAGGTTGATTGTTTGATGAAAATCAAGGTCTTTTAGGTTCTTATTTATTTATTTTATTAAGTTTTATTTATATAACATAGCGAAAAAGCAAAGCACAAGTCCAAGACAATAAAATATAAAAATCATTAAGGTATTTATTCATGATTTTTTATCGTTTTCATGATTTAAGCATGATTAATTTTTCATTTTTTTATTTTTACAACATTTAAAATAAATGTCATTTGGTTTTTCATTTTAAAATATTTATTTTTGTTGAAGTAGTTTATTTAAGAGTTTTTTACAATTTACGTCAAAAATCATATGTGATATCCGCAATTAATTGAATTTTTTTTCAAAAAAAATCGTTAATTTTCAACAATGTATCATATATGATATTGATTATAGTGGGAAAAAAAATTAAGTTACCTACAAGATTACATGTAATATATGTAAATTACGAATTACGTTTTGAAACACATGTGACCTTATATATTTTATATATGTTTTGCTACACATCGTATGTGATTTTGTTTTCATAAAGAAAATAACTTATTTAGTAAGCTTCTAGTGGGGGGCTTTATGCAGAAAGTCAATTTTTTTTTTCCAAACTTATCTTTCTCAATTAAAAAACACGCTCATTTAATCTATGAAAATAACTCTTATACCGACAAATTAATTCAATCAATTTTATGTCTATATGACTTAATAGACAACCAATAAACAGCCCCTTTTTTATCCAAAATCCACTTCTAAAAGGAACCCGAAAGGCTTATTTGTTGGGCTTATTTAATTTTGGGCCATGAGAAAGATTTAATAGCCCAAAATACAATATATGTAGTGATGGCGAAAAATCGGTCCCGGGCTGGTCCCAAGCTTTCTCAAAACCGGCCATAACCGGTTCCGGTCGAAAATGGTAGGACCGGTCAAGGTACTTCATAACCGGTTATGGGCCACCGGTCCCAGTCCCGACATTAAAAATAAGATTTTGTTTTAATGATGTATATTTTTAATATATTATAAAATTTACAATTGGATCACTCAAATACACTTTAAAAATACGTTTTAATATAATTAAAATTGCATTGTCTTATAAAAATACATTATAAAATTATTTAAAAATACATTTATTTATAAAATTATTTGAATTTTCGGGTCGGTCCCGGTCCCACGAAATTTCCAAAAACCCCAACCGGTCCCATAACCGGTCCTTACAAGTCCCGGTCCTCCGACGGTCCCGAGCCGGGCCGGGCAGGGCCGATTTGGCCATCACTACTCTAAGGAGTTATAACGATAAGGGAATTTACAAAAAACACAAGAAAAAAGAGAAGGAAATTGACTGCAGTTTTGGTCAAAATTCAGTAGCATCGTTATGTCGTGAGTAGAGTTGTTCACGGATGGTACAACCCGCTAGACTCTGCCTGCTCGACCCGTTGGAAAAGTTGTCTTAGACAATCATTCTTGAAAAAGTGGGCGGGATCGGGCTGGAGCGTTAAAATTAATGGGCAGGCTCGGTTTGGAGCGCTAGAATTAACGGGCAGGTTTGGGCAATGAAAAAAAAGAATTCGGACAAACCCGCCCAACCGTTATATTATTATGGTTGATAAATTTTATATAAAATTAATAAGTTACTGTTTTTTTATTAAAACTATTTAGAAGTGTCTTTGGTTGGATTGGATTCTCTCTACTAAGTACCAACCGTCACCCAAATAATATAATATGTGATATGTTATATATCACGTAACGAATCTCGATCTTGAATAGTAGGAGGATAAATATTTTGCTTTTCTTTTTCATACACTATGTACATTGATATCTTTTACGTATTATTTTATGCTTAAAAGAATTTATGTTATTCAAACGATATTATATAATTTTTTGCTTTTGAAATGTTAAAAAAAAGCCCGTTAGCTCGTTGGCAAGTTCGGCATGTTCATAAGACGGGTACAGACAACTCTATAAGCCCGCAAAAGTCGGTTTAGGGTTGTTACGTTAGGCCCTGTCAGGCCCAACCCAAGCCTGGAAATGATCACCTCTAGTCGTGAGTTTTGAATATGACGTCAGAGTATCTTATCTACGTCATTGACGGTGGAGATTGATTTTGGAGGTCCGAAGGTCGTGTGTTTGTTTATGAATAGTGGAGTTCATACATCTTGACGGTTTGTTCCAAAAATATGACGGTTTGCGTAGGTGCATGCGAGTCGGGAAATTTGTCACACAAAGATTCCACATATGGTTTATTAACGATGGTCATCTTTCAATTTTTTTTAAATGGTTGATCTCAGGCTTCGTCCAGATTAATCTCATGGCAAGTCACGATTATTTACTTGGATATAATTGAACATAAGGTTTAGTTTGGAGAACCAGAAAATAAGAAAAAGAAAACAAGTGGTTGAACATTCGTTCGGAATTCCTTTTCGTGACGAAAATCTGAGCAGAGTAGATCCCATCTCGACTGTTTTATCGTTACGGGCTACTTTATTCAAAATGGTGATTGTGAGTACTCAATCAGTTTTATTTATTGAACCGACTTCAAGCATGATCATGCGTCTGACCATGTAACTGTTGCTTCGCCCCAATCTTTCTCGGGTATCCCGAGCGCCTTCCAAACGGCTTTAGATCCATCAACGATGTTATTAGGGCACGGTGGTTGGAATCCGTGCTCATCGTCGCAACCTTGAGTGGAGTCACACTCATCAACCACCTTAGCTTTTACGCTTTTACCCCTGTAATGTATTTTAATAAACTTTGAACATCGTTTTCCCTTATTGTACCATCCAGTGGACAACGCCACAACCGGAATGTTATTCGAGTGGAACTTACTGTCACACTCTGATGGTCCGCCGCCGTCCCCGCCCTTCTCAAAATTGTTAATCGTGAGAGTCGCCTTTGTATGTCCAGTGACACGTGGGGAACATTTATATGTCGTGTAAAATTTTCCCTCTTTGCAACAGTCTGGATCATTCACACATTGCCCGTGAGGTGGTTTCTTACCTTTCAACTTTCCGCTCGGTTGGCAAGATTGAGCGTCGACGCATGATATGAACACCGTAAGAAGCACATAAAGGAGAACGATGAAAATAAGCGTCGACTGCTTCATCTTAACTTCGTGTATTGTTGATATTTGGTGTAAAGAAATTGGCTCGAGAAAATTTAATATATAGTAACAGGGTTTTTTGTCGTATGCTCGAATGGTTAAATTTCTTAGGTCGTGGATATAAACGAGGTTGAATCTACGATAGCTGAGTTTCGTGATTCATTAGTTTGTATCAATGGAAACAAAATCTCACTTTTTCCAATGTACGTCTAAACATAAAAGATTAAAAACTTGATTTAGGAATCTATGTCGGGATTTTATTTTTCTGAACTCTTATGTTTGTATTTTGTAACGAAATCTAAATTAAACTGGAAAATTTAGGTTCGATTCAGAATCTTATCCATGTAGGCTTGAGCGTATCTTTCTAAAAAAATAATTATTATTAAATTTCAAGAATTTTTATTTGCACGTTGTAACAATTTTTTTATAGGTATGTATTCTGATTTTTATAATTATATCAGTATAATTTTTATAATTTTGAAGAAATTGACGAGACGATCATGTAATAATATAATTTGTAGAAAAAGAAACGTATTTTATGTTAATATATGATTATGTATGTTAATATGACTAGAAGGGTACTCGCACAATGCAGCGAGATATATCTCCATTTTAATGTTTTGTTTTATATTTTGTCTTTGTTGATATAATACGATAATTGTGGTTTTGAGAAAGATAATGTTTTTTACGATTTAGAGAAGTAATTTATTTCTAGCTTAACAATAAAATTTTATGAAGTTAATGATTCTGTTAGAACTCAATATCCTAATTATATTTTAAATTTTTTATATATAAAATGAGATGTTTATTCCGTATTTGATTATGTTTATCTGCAGTTAGTTATACGAATTCAAAAATGAAGCTTTAATAAGTTGTATTTACGCATAATTGACTTGTAATATTAAATTTTAAGTAATATGCATTAATACATAATACTCCATGCATAAAAAATGGTTTTTTTAAGTGTTCTTATCAAATGCGTTATATGTACTATATTATAAAGCATTTGATAAAAACACTTAAAAACCACTTTTTATGCATGAATTATTGTTTATTAATGCATATTACTTAAAATTCAAGATTACAAGTAATTTTGTATAAGTACAACTTATTAAAGCTCTATTTTTAAATTCGTGTAACTAACTGCAGATAAACATAATCAAGTACAAGATAAACATTCATTTTAAAATATAGAAAATCTGAATTATAGTTAAGATAATTATTGAGTTCTAACAAAATATTTAATTATTATCTTTATAAAAAATTATATTATTAAACCAAAAATAAAGTACTTTGTTATTAAATCTAAATTAGCGTATAATAAAAAATTAAATTAAAGAAGTTACACCAAAAAAATGAGAATTATTAAATAGTTAATTTGATGCTATCAATTTATTTTTTTCAAATTTTTATGTTATCTTCAAATTTATATTTCATTCAAAAATAAAAACGTTATTGTTTTTCTCAAAACGACATAAAATCGTATTATATCAATAGAGAAGAATAAAAACGAAATAATTAAATGGAGATTTATCTCGCTACATTACGTGAGTACCGTTCTACTAATATAGTATAGATAAAGGAGTAAAATGAAAAACTAAAAACAAGCAATTATAAAGTAAATTAAATAACTAATTATAACAATAAAAAAATGTAATTTAAAATACAAAATAATTTGTTTTTAATATAGTATAGATTAGTATAAAAAGACATAAATTATAAATCGAAAAATAAAAAATATATTATTTTAATGGTTATAAGAGTATAAAATGTAAAATTTAAAAATAAAAATTAAGTATTTATATTTATTCATATATATATATATATATATATATATATATATATATACTAGAAATATATTCGCGCAATGCAGCGAAATAAAGTACGACTTTATATGATTTTAAGAAAGCGATAATGTTTTTATTTTTGAATGAAATATAAATTTAAAGATAACATACAAATTTGAAAATAAAATAAAATTGATATTAGTATTAAATTAACTATTTAATAGTTTTTTTTGTAACTTCTTTAATTTAGTTTTTTATTATAATTTAATTTAGGTCTAATAAAAATATAATTTATTTTTGGTTTAATAATATAATTTTTTATCAAGGTAATAATTAACAGTTAAAACTTAATGATTATCTTAATTATATTTTAGATTTTCTATATTTAAAATAGATGTTTATCTTGTATTTGATTATGTTTATCTGCAGTTAGTTACACGAATTTAAAAATGGAGCTTTAATAACTTGTACTTATGCAAAATTACTTGTAATCTTGAATTTTAAGTAATATGCATCAATAAACAGTACTTCATGCATAAAAAATGGTTTTTAAAAGTTTATATCAAATGCTTTATAATATAGTATAGATAACGAAGTAATTTATATTTGGTTTAATAATATAATTTTTTTATAAAGATAATAATTATTTATTTTGTTGGAACTTGATAATTATTCTAACTATATCTTAGATTTTTTATATTTTAAAATAAGATGTTTATCCTCTATTTGATTATATTTTTCCGCAATTAGTTATACAAATTCAAAAATAAAGCTTTGATAAGTTGTACTTTTGCATAATTTACTTGTAATCTTGAATTTTAAGTAATATTGGTTTTATGTGGTTTTGAGAAAGTGGTAATATTTTTATTTTTGAATAAAATATAAATTTAAAAATATCATAAAATTTTGAAAAAAATATCGATATCAGTATTAAATTAATCTTTTTAAAAGTACTTGTGTTTTGGTGTAATTTTCTTAATTAAATTCTGTTAGTTATCAATGATTATCATAATTATATTTTAGATTTTTTATATTTAAAATGATATATTTATC